GTCTATGTTAATTTGTAATCACTCTACAGGTCGCAATTATGCCGATCCTCACGAAATTGAAAATTGAGGGGGGCTTATGGTCAGAATAGAACCCTATTGTTTTTGGAGATGATCGCACGATATTTAAGGGTTGAAATACACCAGAAACAGAAAAATTTATTTGGGCGGCCATCGGGCAATAATTAGGGGGTAAAATAGACCCTAATTTTTATGTAAGAAGATAGGAAAATTTCCACTAAACCGCGAATATTTTCAATCCCAGCCAAATCACAAATACATTAAAATATCACTTCTGACCATTAGAAATCGGATATATAGCAAAATAGGTACAATATATATGTAAAATAATTAATCTTATTTATTCTGCTTATAAATCAAGAACCGCTGGGCCGATTTTCTCAATTCCCATAAATTCGGAATGGTATCTTGTCAAAAAACGATAATATCTAAGAAAATCGTGAATATTTTTTTGTTCCATTTTTTTCAAATCTTGTCATATTTTTTATCGCATGCGTTTTTTTTTAATTTGACTTACAATTTTGAATTGTAAATTTTCTACATGTTTACACCCCCCAACACTACGTTTTAAGGGTATTATATGCATATCGCAATTATCGTCCGATGCTCAAGAAATTTTGCATGAGGGTAGTGTTAGGGTCGGAATTAAAGCCTATTGTTCTTAAAATGTACATTTAGAGGTGCAAATGGAGTAAAAATATTTAATTTTTTCTAATTTTGTAGTCGCTCTATAGGCCGCAATTGAAAACTAATCGACAATGAATTTCGCATCAGAAGAGAGTTAACGACAGGAAAGAAGTCTTTTGAATGACTGTAAAATGGACCACAACTTACGTGTGCAAAGTTTTTTTTCATTACTTAACAACACCACGGAGTCCGTAAATATTGGCCAAATTCTTAGGGTCAAAAAACTAAGGGTAACCTCTGGGCGGGTCTCTTTGACATTATTTCAAAAACGAAATCTTCCAAAATGGATGTGGATATAAGGGGTCTTCGAACATATTGCAGTGTTGTAGGGTATCACATTGTCGGCGCCGCACGGCTATAGCCTTTGCTTACTTGTTTTATTATTATTATTTGTTTTTAAAGAAAAACTTTAAAATACTCTTCGACCTACCCTAAACCTAGATGATAGCATGATATTGTGGTGGTTTTTTTGCAAATTTATTTTTATTTAAAATTAAATATTTCGGGGTAACGGCTCAGCTAGAATTATTTATTGAAAATTCGGACTGAAAGTGTCATACTGTTTAAATAAAGAGGGGGGCTTTGAAAATGCATACCATAAGTTGACGAGAAGGGTCAAATTTTGAAAATAAGGACTAAAAAATACAAAAAATTCTAAATAGTACTAAATTTGGTATTTGGGGAAGGATAAGATTTGGAAATCTAAAATTTAGTATCAGCATAAAGTTTTGTGCGGAGGAGTTGGTATATGAAGGTGGATGTAGAAATATGTACTAGAAAAGTACTTAAAGTTATAAACTTTAATACAATTGGTATCCGAGGAAATCTGAAATTTCTTATTAAGGTTTTTTATGCTTTTTTAGGATATATCAAAATCTATCAAAAGTTCTAAAACGAACTAAATTGGGTACAATTTGGAATTATGACAACGGAGAGCAAAAGTTTGATTAGTAGAATTTATATAAGAAGGTTGTTTTGGAAATGAATATAAATAATATTTTGGTAGAATAAATACAGGCGGAATGTAGTAATAGTAGAAGTAATCCAAACTTTTGGAAATATGTAAAAATGCCGACGGTATATATCTATCGGCAAACTGGCTGGTACATTTTAGCTTTTTATACCCTACACCAAAAGGTGGTCAGGGTATTATGCATTTGCTTGTAACAGGCAAAAGGATACAAGATAGACCCATAGTTCCTTTTGATGATTTGCATAGAATCACATTCTGACTCGATTTATTTATGTCCGTCCGTCCGTCTGTCCATGTATTTTTGTAAACAAAGTACAGTTCGCATTTATTGCCCTGGCCGAAGGACGAAACCTATTGAAATTGGAGATAATCGGTAAAAATTTAGATATAGCTCCCATATATATCTTCGTCCGATTGACCTTTTATTGTGCACCAAACGTGTAATAGCATCGTTTTGCACATATGGAATTTTGCACATACAACCAAATTAGGCCTGAAAATGATCGAAATCGGTTCAGATATAGCTATAGCTCCCATATATATTGTTCATCCGATTTGTTATTTTTGTCCTCCGCAGCCGTAATATCCACTCTGTAACAACAATATTTGGGGAAATATAGCAAATACAGCTCAGAAATACAGTTGCTAAATTTTATCGAGATCGGTTATAACTTCGTCCGATTTACCTTTGATAGTGCACCAAACGTCTAATATTTGCCCAAATGGGATGAAATTTGGCACTTACGACCGAATTGAGTCTAGAAGCTAGTATGCCAAATTTGGTGAAGATCGGTTCAGGTATAGCTATAGCTCCCATATATACTGTTCATCCCATATACATCTGTTCATCTGTTAATATGCACTCCGTAACAACGATATTCAGGGACATATATCAAATACAGTTCAGAAATATCTTTGCCAAACTTTAAATTTCAAATTAATTGTGCACCAAATGGGCAATACAAGTTCGAATTTAAAAGATACAAATGCTCCGGCATATTTAGTCCTTTGAACTTTAAATTATAATTATAATCATAGCGTGTATGATTCGATTCTCCCATAAGAACTTTTAATTGTTATGCGGAGCTCTAATAAATTAGAAAGGTGATGTAGGGTATCATAAAGTCGGCCCAGTCCGACTTTAAGACTTTCTTTACTGGTTTATTTTTAAACTAGCAAGTGCCGCTACTTCGTCAGAGAAAATCTACCTTAAAATGCACATTTTGTTCTGTCTGACAATTTCAATAATAATTTTTCTTCAATAATAATTTCGATACGAATATAAGAAAATATTTTATTTTAATTTTAATAATTCTCAATCAAATTTTAAGTTTTTAGCTCCATTACGGTGATCCGTTCGATTTTTCGAAAAGTATATTTATGCAATAAAAGGGTAAGAGACCTCTGTCTGAAGTTAAAAAAATATCCAACCCCCCTATGGTAGTGTTACATTTCTGAAACCCATCTTTTTTTGGATAATTTTAAAATTAATTTTGAAAAATAACAAAAAAGAACGAAATAATGTAGTACATATAGGTAAACTTGACTGTTCGAAATTTCGAACACTTGTTTCTGGAAAAACGACAAATCGAAAAAATTTTCTAAATACATTTTGTGTGATCAGTGGGCCCAAATTACCCTAAAAAGTAAAATTTTTCAAAAAATAAATAAAATAAAAATTAATCTCGGAAACAAATGGGTTAATACCAAATAGTACCGTTTTGGAACTTTTGGCAATCTTAAAGTTTCCAAAAACCATTTAGCATATTTATCCTGCACTTCATCAGTGACTCTCATTCTTAATAATAAAATTTCCTTCATTTCCTTTGTCCGTTTAATTTTTAGTACATTTTAGTACTTCTCGTACCCTTTTAGTACGTACCTCGGGCAAAATTTCAAAATACAGCCGTTTCGTGTCGGCATTGATTTTTAGTCAGTAAGTCATTTCACTACTCTATATAGATGAGATGAAGAACATTTTATATACCCCACACCTCACTGTGGTACATGGTATTATGTATTTCGTTATCCGTTTGAAATATGTAGAATTTTTATACGAGTGAATTAAAAAGATTCAGGTCAAAGTTTTTTTTTTTTTCAAAAACTGGCTGTTAATATGATTTTTACCCTTTCGAAAGGATTTCCAAATATTATTGAGTAGGACAAAATATATAATTTATCTCTCATTAAAGTTTCCGAGATAGTTAGATATTTGGTCATATTTTCATTGATTCTATTTAATTTATCTTCAATTCCATTCCTGTAACGCTGAAAACTTACCATCATCCATTGCTCTTTCACAAATCAGATAATTATTGGCACTGCAGTCGCGATCATTCCACATATAACGATTCGTGAGAGGACTACGGCTACTTTGAATTCCGGGTGGTGTGCGAAAGTAACGTCTCAATTCAATGCAATCCTGACTGCTAAGACCATCGTCATTCGGTTGCTTGTTATAGTGACCATGCTGTGACCAACCGGGAAACCAATCTGCAAAAGAAAATATAAATTAAATAACAATTTGTAAGCTTCCTCCCCCTCCCCACCACTCCCCGGTTCGCAACACTTACTGGTATATTGAAATAACAAGCCATCACTCCAGCGAAAATCACCTTCATAACTTTTATCCGAACCACCGACCCAGTAGGCATTCTCATCCTTATAGCCCGGACTCTTGATGAGCAACTCGTTTATGGTCTGCTGCTGTTGTTCGTTGCGTATCGAAACTAAGTGGCCACCCAGTTTGGAACAGTACTTTTCACCCTCATGCCACGACATGGCCAATTCAATGGCAGCTATGCAAAATTGTTGCATAGCAATCCAACCAAAGGCACAATTTGAGACAATATTTTTCAGAGGACGAGCCTGATACGATAAATATATGGCTGGCATGTTCAGCTTGCCGTTGTCGTTATTTCTGGCTGATGGTTTTGCAGCCGGCGCTGTGGTACGAAAAAGATGTACACTCAATGTGTTGCTGGACGACTCCAGAATAAAGCCACGCACGTTACGAGTATCGTTGACACAATGCGACCACTTGGCCGAATTGTCATTTTCGAATACCTTTATCACCAGGCCGATACAGTTGGCAGTGCCAGTGTAGGCCATTTGTAAGTTAGCTTTACTTATGGTCAAAAAACCAAACGAGTCTAGGCCAATTAAATTGGCAAATGTTTTCGATTTCACATCGCCGCCAAATGAAGATAATTTCCTGCCACTCGTAGAATTCAGTTCAGATTGTTTAAACAATGGCATGAGCGGAGAATAGGCTCCCAAATTGCCATTACCATTGTGTAGGGTGAGATTAATAACTTGTGCCCCAATTCTCGTACCTTGGCGGGAGAAAATCGTATAAAGTTCATCCACATCTTCATCGACATTATCACCATCTGACGGAAACTGCTGCTGTCCCAACATTGGCATGGGTAAAATATCACTATCATTATTCGTCACCATTCGCAGCAACACCCTATTGCCGTACGGCAGGTGTATGCGAAAATAACACTCCAACGTATCCTTCATACTGGGCCTTATATAAAATTCGCCCGTTTGATTGCTGGTACTTACATTATAGCAATAATCGACTAATTTAAAACTTAAACTAAACATTGGATTCCTATAGAACTGTACAGATGTGTCGTCCCGAACATTGAAATGATATATCCGATCCGTGCTGTCGAGCTCTTCCAACTTGCCGCACAACACCTTTTGGCGATTGAAGCGCACAAAGCCACCGCTGGCACAGGGCACATTGAGGCGTTGCAATTCCACCAGCATTCCGGGTGGTGGATTCGGATTCGGATTGGGTGCATCCGATTCTGAGTTGAGTTGCTTAAATTTAGGAAAATGAACTGTACAATCTATGCAGTATAAAGGCAATACGGTATAGTCCAATGTACCCATAGAGATTTCACGTAACATTAGATGGCAGTCTGGAAAGAGGCAGAGAGTGGAAAAAATTAAAATGTCTTCTAATTACACTGGGAAACACGAAAATTAATAACAGGAAAAACTCAGTAGATAATGAAATTAGAGCTATTAAAAAGTAAATACTTGTATCTTGTTTTCAAAGTTTAAAACCCAAAATAGACTACATGGAAGTGGCATGTTCCACCCTCTTCAATATTTTTTCCAAACTTTCTAATGGAGATTAACTGAAATTTTGGATATATTGCGTCTTCGCCAATATAAGTCTACACACAATATTAGAATTTTTTGGTCAAACAATTTAACTGCCAAGCGGGTCACCAAAGGGGTTTTTTTCAGACCTTTAAAAAATTAAAAATAACCACTTATTTAATTCTAGGTCTTTTAATACCCTCCCACGATTTGGAAGGAGCTTGAAAAATTTCAAAAAAAAAAAAAAAATTCCGGAAACTACCTTTTAAATAAAACTGTTATATAGAGACTATACGAAGTCGTGGACTTCGTGGAAAAATTTTTGTAAAAATTTTAGCCTTCCATCCTAATTAGTTCGAAAGATAGCGTGATTACAACAGATAGACGGACAAACAGACACATATACATTCATTTTTATACCCTCCACCATATTATGGAGGGTATATTAAGTTTGTCATTTCGTTTGTAACACCTCGAAATATAAATTTTAGACCCCACAGAGTATATATATTCTTGAACAGCATAAAATGCTATGTCGATTTAGCAATGTCCGTCCGTCTATCCGTCTGTGGAAATCACTCTAGCTTCCGAACTAACTGAAGTAGATTGATAAAATTTTACTCAAATGTATGCCATGTCTGCAAAATTTTTGGTCATATAACGGTACCTCCCGATATTCCGTATTCTGATTTTAGCGACATTATTTACCGGAATTCTAACAAATTTATATTTGATGTTCGAAAAGAATACTACAACCTAAGACAGAAAATTGTCTGTGCCGGTCCACGTCTTCGTATAGCCCCCATATAATGATATCTCCCGATATTCGGTATTTTGATGATTTTAGCGATTTATTCACCGGAATTGTTTCAAATTTGGTATTTGAGGTTCGTAATGGATACTTCAGCCTGTGACAGAAAATTATCTGTGCCGGTCCACGTTTTCGTATAGCCCCATATAATGGTTTTTTTATGATTTTAGCTACATTGTTACCGATTTTTTTAAGTTTCGCATTTGAATATTGTAATGACTTATGACAAATGTTACCTAAGCAGATCCATGTCGTCGTATAGACTCTAATATAACAGCTACATTCGGCATTTTTAAGATTTAAACAGAATTTTTAACGGATTTTATTGTTTTTGAGAATTGCCAATTTCGTTCCAAACGGTGGAGGGTATTCCAAGTTCGGCCCGGCCGAACTTACAGCTTTTTTACTTGCCTACTCAAATTATTATATGATCTTTTTGAGTTGCATTCTGGCGGACATAAATTCTCAGCTGACTCAACAACAGACAGCATCAACTCATCACTACCATTAGCGACAGTCAGCGTAGGGCAGGCAATGAGTGTACATCATTAGACGGTAGGTTACGAATTTAAAAATTACTCTTTAGAATACTTATCCAGGACTCTCAGTCCTGAATCCTGGAATAGGGTATCCTTTAAACTCATGCTTATCTTTGCAGATTTTGAGTGAATACTTATTAAAGTCTCGCCAGACGTAGCTTAGCATATCTTTCCAGATCCTGCTTGAGTACGTATTAAGGTGTCTCGCAGACGTAGCCCGGCATATCCTTGTAAAATTGCTTGAGTGCATTTTAGAGACTTTAAAAAGTACCCAAGCAATTTTACAAGACAGACAGCCTATCATATCCCTGTGGATCCTGCTCGAGTACTTATTAAGGTCTCTTGCTATAGTTGTAGGATTTGTTTGAGCACTTATTAACGTTTCTCGCGGACATAGCCCCTACATACCCTTGTAGATCTAGTTTCTTAAGGTCTCTTGCTACCTTTGTAAATCATGCTTGAGTACTCATTAAGGTATCTTGCTTAAGTAGCTTTCCATATCCATGTAGTTGTACGAATTGGATCTCCTATAGACGTAGCCTGGCACTCCCTCATTGGCATAGGTCCAGTTGAGTACTTATCAAGGTTTCTTGCATAAAATCCAACCGGTAGACTTGCATGAACCATCCCGAATCCTGAGTACTTATCCAAGTCTCTAGTCGAAGAACCATTGCTAATTTCTGATCGAAGACTAGTAGGATAAGTTAAACTTAGTTTAAAATAAACACATTGTAAATTCATGTCCTTATTATCTCAATTATAAAGTGTATTAACAAACTTTCTGTCTCAAAAGCTACTCTAGCCTGTCGTCAAAAATGTATGTATGGCAACATTTTCGATGTTTTAAGCTCTACTTTCATAATATTTTGGAGAGGTAATTTTGCTATTCGAAACGCGGATACACGTCTGCTGCATTTACCTCTATTTCCTTAATCTTCTGGGCTTTATTTGTAAAAAAAAATAATTTTGTCACAAAGTACTGTAGAAGTCATGTCAAAGAAATAACTGAGGATTTTTTTAAATAACTTTTTTGAGCATGAAAATTTTAAAAATTATTTTTATAACAAATATTGATTTTTAGGAATAGTTTCGTAAAGGATTATCGGGGAAGAAATTTTGAATTTTTTTTATATATTTTATTCGTGATCGAAAAAAAAATTATGGTGGATTTTATCATATCCGTCCGTTCGTTGTAATCACACAAGAGCCCAAGCGTTTTGAAATAGGAAGCTAAAATTTAACATAGAACGGTCTATTGTTTGCAGGCATGTCAAGTTGGACTACATCGGTCCCCGAGGTCGTTTAGGCCTATATATAAACGTACAGCTAAATATAAATATAAAGTTTATTAATTATTTCAGTCACTTTTTCAAAGGATTTGTTTGAAATTTAATATCTAAAACAAGCAGTGAGTAGTTAACCTTCCTGCAGAAAATTGTCTATATTGGTCCAGGTGTGTCGATTTTGACCATTTTAAACCTATTATTCAAGGTCTTCCCTGGAATTCGATGTCCAAATTTTTTACTAGGTACTAATCCTTTCTAGGAAAAATTTGTCTACGTTTTCGTATTACAGTTTTTCTGATATTAAAAATGTTGATTACTGGCTATTATTATTTTGATAAATTTAACAAAATTTTTACGGAATTCTTGAAAAAGAAGAATCATTCTTCAATAATGGATATGATGCAAATATATTACCTTTATATGCGATTTTAAATAGATAATATAAAAAGTTCGAATATCTTAACACAATAGGGTTCTTTCCTTCAATGTGGATTGCTTTTTACATAATATTGGCTGTTTTTTTTAATCTTAAATCTCATTCAATTACTTATTCGAACATTGCATTTTACTACTTACCTTTGCGTATATGAAATTGAAAAGTTTTTCTGTAAACCACTATTTGTGCATCATCAGCATTGGCAGCAGCTTCATTGCGATAATTGTCGTCACTTCCATTTGTATTAATGGTCTTGTTCTTAGCAGCGTTTGTCGTTCTCATTTTCATACGAAAAAATACTCTGAAATGAGGAATAAAATATATATAACATGCTGTTAAAGGATAATAGGATAAGAAAGAAATTGAAAGCTTTTTATTGAAGTAACCGATAATGGCATGAATTGCCATTGTGATAATTCTTTGTTGAAAACAATCAGAACATAAGGAAAACTGTTTGTTTAAAAGTTACCACGTCCCAAAAAAGGACGTTATCTACAATGTCAAAATAACTTTATCTAGGAGTATATTTGGGGTGCGAAATTGGGGTCAATTTTCCAACACTCGAGGAAAAAAGGAAAAAAAGTCGACAATACAAAACTGTATGCTTCCGTCCGCTTGTATATGTAAACTCTATAGATCGCAATTCTCACAATATTTCCATCTGAGCTATGGTCAGAATAAAAGCTTAACATTTTTGGAAATTTTCGCAAAATATTTCGTGGAAGAAATTAAATAAAATCAAAACAGCATAATTGTGGTTATAATTATAATTTAAAGTTTAAAGGTCTAAATATGCCGAAGCATTTGTATCTTTTAAATTCGGACTTGTATTACCCATTTGATATATTGGGAGCTATATTCAAATCTGAACCGATCTCGAGAAAATTTGGCAAAGATATTTCTGAGCTGTATTTGATATATTTCCCTGAATATCGTTACAAATCGGATGAACAGTATATATGGGAGCTATATATCTGAACCGATCCTTACCAAATTCGACAATTCGGTCGTAACTACCAAATTCCATCCCATTTGGACAAATTTTAGACGTAACAAAGGTAAATCAGACGAAGTTACATATGGGAGCTATATCCAAATCTGAACCTATCTTGATAAAATTTGGCAAATGTATTTCTGAGCTGTATTTGATATATTTCCTCAAATATTGTTGTTGCAGAGTGCATATTACGGCTGCGGAGGACAAAAATAACAAATCGGATGAACAATATATATGGGAGCTATATCTAAATGGGGTTCAGAAGGAACCCCATGTGTGTATTTTAAGACAACTTCAATTAACAATTTAGCTGAAATCATCCAAATACCGAATATCAGGGGTACATTGAAAAATGTGTCTAAGATAATCAAAATAACAAATATCGGGAGAAACCCTTAAATAGGGGATGTATGATATCCTGGATCTATATAGACAATACTGTTCCAGGGGGTAATGTACTCACAAAGAAATCTTTGTGTAGAATTTCAGACAATTCCGTTGAAAAATGTGGCTAAAATCATCAAAATACCGAATATAGGGGGTACCGTCTTCGAACTTGACCTGCCTTCAGACAAAACACTGATCTGTGCAAAATTTTGCCTTCCTGTCTTAACTCGTTTTGACTCTAATGTTATTACAACAGACGGTCAGGCGGACGGACGGCTGAACAGGGCTAAATCATCTTATAATTTGGATCGACATACTTAGTTTGATCGACTCAGCTCGACAAGATATGAAGATCCATATATAGTTTCCTATGTGCTGGACTAATATTTCTAGGTGTTACATCATTTTATGTCCAATGAAACTTTTAACACTCCAACATCTAGTGTTTTAGGGCAAAAAAAGTATATAGACCAAACATGACATGATGATACAGCGGACCGATATTGCAATCTCCCAACTCGATCGAAATAAAAGCAAGTAAAAAAAAAGGAGTGAGTTCGGCCGAAGAAGGAATTGGCAAATTTTCGAACAAATTTTGTTGAAAAATACTACAGAGAGTATCCGTTACACTGAGGCTTATACAAAGATATGAACCGGCATAGGTCATTACAATATTCTAATACGAAACTTTAAACAATTTCGGTGAATAATGCACAAAAACATCAAAATACCGAATTTAGGGAGCTACCGTTATATGGAGGCTATAAGAAGACCTGGAATTGCAATTTTCTATCATAGGCTGTAGAATCCATTTGGATATTTGAATGCGAAATATCAAACAATTCCGGTGAATAATGTCCATATATACAAAGACGTGGACTGGTATAGGTAATTTATTTTCAGAGGCTGAACAACCCATTAGGAATTACGAATTTGAAATAATTCCGGTCTATAATGTAGCTAAAATCATCAAAATATATATATAGGGAGGAACCATTATATGGTGGCTATACGAAAACGTGGACCTGCACAGACAACTTTCTGTCATAGGCTGCATTATCCATTACGAATTTCAAATACTAAATTCAAAATATCGAATATCGGGAGGTATCGTAATATGGGGGCTATACGAAGGCGTGGATCTGCACGGTCAATTTTCGGTCTTAGGCTGTAGTATACATTACGAAGTTCAATTGCCAAATATGAAACTTTTCCGGAGATTAATGTCGCTTAAATCACTAAAATACCGAAAAACGGGAGGTACCATTATGTGAGGGTTATATTAATACCAAAAGTCCTACAGACCTTATATACATTTGAGTTAAGCTTTATAAACCAATTTTATTTAGTTCGGAAGCTAGAGTGATTTCCACTGACGGACGGACATCGCTAAATAGACATAGAATTTTATGCTGATCAAGAATATATACTTTGTGGGGTCTAAAATGTATATGTCGAGGTGTTGCAAACGGAATGACAAACTTAATATGCCCTCCATACTATGGTGGGAACCGCTGCATTCGCACAAACTGTCCAATGTTTAATTTCCTCGAGAGGGAGGGTATCATCACCTTGTTCATTGCTTTCTATTAATTTCTCATAGACATCCCATTTTTTGTGGTATTACCTTCACATATCGGATATTAGAATACATTGGAAACATCTTGATCAAAACTTACCTAAATTCAATGATGTCATTCTGCTCGCAGAGCTCATTAAGCCACCACATGGCACTGGTTTCGCTACTAATGCCGCCCGCAGCATTAGTATGACTTCTGAATGTTCCTCGCCATTTGTTATCCGGACATGTTTCTGAATACTCATCCGGCATTACAGCACGTCGTTGTCTTGTTGGTATGGCTGGTTGTTGTTGTTGCTCCTCCACTCCGTTGTGTTGTTGTTGTTGTTGTCGGGAATACGTTTGCATCGTGGCATCATTAAATGCTGCACCCGATACAACTGATAACAGAGATCTTTTATAATTCCCATTGGATGACGTTGGCAATTCTTTGTCGTAATGCCATCTGTCATTGCTGCTGGTGTCATCACGGTTCTGATGGCTGTTTTTAGCATTCGCGTGATGTTGCTCACGTTCTCGTTCTCGTTCACGTTCTCGTTTTAGCTTAGATGCATTTCGTACTTTGGCAAAATCTTTAAAAAATATATTTGTTGGTATATGACCAATATACTCAACATCTCCGTCATCGCGGGCAACATAATCATCAACGTGGCGTTCATCTAATACTTTTTTGGATGCAGCTGCCGGTGAGCCTGTCTCTTCCGCTGATGCCGATGACGAAGAGCTAAAATCATTTTTGTGCAATGCTTCCGCAAATTCATCTCTGGGGCTGGGATTTTTGCCATTGCCCATGATTGGGCCTTTAGCTGTTTTCATCGGTTGGCGTTTGCCATTTTGTTGCGATGTGGCGAACCATGAAATTGGCAACTTGTTGCCAGCACCAGCCAAACTGACAAAACTACCGCGGTCTTGAGCATTCAACAACGACACGGTCTCAACGAAGAAATCCCCCGTGTAATGAATTGTCGGATTTTGCATTTCCGGCATTACGGGCTGCTGTTGGCTTCGTTTTGTAGCTGGTCTTTTGAGTGTTGCTGCTGTTGCCGATGCCCCACTCCGTACTGGCACTGGAGTCATTGTAAGATGCACTGGTGTAACAAGTAGCAGGCGAAGCGGGAAGAAAATCGAAAAGAGAGAAACAAATACATAACTTGGAATTAGTTTTAATTATTTTGTAAAGATAGTATCAGGGGATGTGTTTTCGGAAATGAATTAAAACAGTTTTTCAATTTGCATAATCCGAGGATTTAATATGGGAATATGCTACATACAGTATTCATGTTGGGTGTGATGCATGGGTGCGTATACATGTTATCGTAACGTATACGTTATGGCAAACTTAAAGAGTCAATGGCTTTAAAATTGATTACGTGTATCGTAAAATATTTTCTTATGAAATTACAGAATGTTATATTAACCCAGCCAGGAAAAGCCCAATGTCGGGCAGGTCCGACAATATGATACCCCACACCACTATACCTATTTAGTAGAGCTCTCGTAACAAAAAAGTTTATATTGGGAATTTATGCGAAGTAGATCATACCAACTATGAACCTTATTTTAATGTGTATCATGTCTTTAGAGTCGTCAGAATTTTGGAACTACATCCAACTCTGAATCGATTTTTAAAAAATTTGGATGACGATTTTGTACATTTAGTACCAAATAACATTTCTGTGTGGTTCATGATATGACTTCGATAAAAATTATATTAAAACAAGTAAGCAAAGGCTATAGTCGTGCGGGGCCGACCATGTGATACCCTACAACACTACAATATGTTAGAAGCCCCCTTATGTCTAAATCCATTTAGGAAAATTTCGCTTTTGAAATTATGTCACGGAGTACTGCCCAGATATTACCCTTAGCTTTTTGACTAGGGAAATTTGCCCTATATTTACGCACTCCGTCGTGCTGTTAGTTATTGTGGTCCATTTTATAGCAAAGTATAACCAAATGGTCATCCAAAATGGTAGACTTATTCGCTGTCCTTAAATGTTTTTTTCTTTTTTTTTTTTTTTTTGGTTCATTTGAACCCCTAAATATTTAGCGATCATCTCCAAATGTAAGATGCCCCTTTGTATCTCCAAATATAGGCTCATCTTGTCTACAATATTTGGCTATATTCGTCCACGAAATCAGCATAAAAAAGCCAGAAGGTCGCCTTTTGTGTATCATATCATAAGTAAGTAACGTTGGTATTTTTCAACACAAATGTAGTGGTTCATTGTACTGTCCGAAACTCTAACTTCATGCGAGATTTCCTGTTCTTTGGTTTCTATTTTATAACGGCTGCCAAATCAGGTACATGTTTAGTTGTTGGTCCATTTCAATCCCTAAATATATTGCCGACATCGTTGAAACAATGGCCTCGCCCTTCTGAGCCTAACCCTACCCTTGTGAAAGTTTTCGTGAGGATCGGACGATAATTGTAATCTGTATATATAATAACCCCAACCAGTGTTGTGAGGTGAAAAAAATATACAAAATATATACTTCAATATTTTAAGCCAAACTGAAAAACTCGCATGCGATAGAAAATATGAAAAAATAAAAAAAATGTCACAAAATACTACAAAATCTATATTAACATCATTATTGGCATCTTTTTATTCGAGTTTTTAGGGTTTATACTTTTATGACAAGAGGGCATTTTGAATTGACAAAATTTGTCAAAATCGGTCCAGCCATTCTTGAGATATAAGCATTATAGCTAACATCCCCTTCCTTTGTATATACGCATTGTATATATTTCGCTATATATATCCGATATATTTACTATCGGCATCTACGTAACGGTCCGAATTGACCTCTTCGTCTATTTGTGATTTCGCCGGGACTAAATATATTCGCGATTTAATGGAAAATTTGATTTTTATTTAACACAAATGTTGTGGTCTATTTCACACACTAAATATTATCCGATGACCAAAAATTAGAAGACATCTGCCCAGCTCTAAGCTCTAGCCCCATGCTAACTTCCGCGTCGATTGGTCTATAATTGCGTCCTGTATAGCAACTGCAAAATCAGTTTTTTTTTAGTTTTTGGCCCAATTCAATCCCAAAATATTATGCGATCATCTCCAAAAGAAATAGGGTTCTATTCTGGCTCTAGGCCAACCTCCATTCTTAATTTCGTGGAGATCGGGCCATAATTGCGACCTGTAGAGTGATTACAAATTAACATGGACAGACGGACGGACATACATAACTAGATCGACTCAGCTCGGCGAGATAAGAAGATCCATATATACTTTCCTATGTGGGAAACGAATATTTCGAGGTGTTAAATAATTTTTGGCCCAATCAAACTTATAATACTCCCAACACATAGTGTTGTAGGGTATAAAAATATTTACGAGGGCGGTTCGGAAACTTCTTAGCCTATCAATGAAAGAGAATACCGGACTGCTTTTCAACAAATGGAAAAATTCAGTAGAATATGAAAACATCTATCCAATTTGGGTTGATATTACATATATTGTGGACATTAACCGTAAAATCGGATATCGAAGGAATATAAAATTCTAAATCGATTTAAATAAAATTTGGCAGAGGTATTTCCGAGCTGCATCTGATATCCAGTACTAAATATCCTTGTTGTGGAGTGCATATTACGCATGTGAGGGACTTTAACAAAAAATCGTATTAACCATATATATAGGCGCTATATATACAGGGTGAAAAAATTGCAAACAACTTCAGACTGCTGTCATTTCTAAGCCACTCGTCCGACAGCTGTTAAAATTATTCCAGTGACGGCTCATTATATTGTTTACAGCATTTTGGTGAGAATTTTCCCGAAAAAAAAAAAGTTATTCTTGATGGAATTCAAGCGTGATAGTGTGACGTGGCTGGAAAACCACAAGTGGCTATCGTTAGAGCACTCCAGCATTTAAATGTGAATAAATCTTTTGTGTGAATAAATCTATTGTAGCATAGCCCGACGACAAGAAAGTGGACAGAAGAACAGAAAAATCAGCAGAAATGGTTCGAAAAGTAAAGAAGCGACTTGATCGAAACCCGCGTCGCAGTGGCCGAAAAGTGCAGTGGCTCGTGAGCTGAACACATCGCAATATTCCATTCGGCAAATATTGAAAAATGAGCTCATAGTAAAATCATCGAAATTCCAAAAAGTGCAAGAACTTACACCTCTACAGAAAGAAAATAGACTCATAAGAGCTAAGCTAAGAGCTGGCCGAAAGTAGTGAACTGCCGAATTTGGTTTTCTCCGATTAGAAAATATTAGTTGTCCAGCAGTTTGTAAACACACAAAATGATCGTGTTTACATGCCAAAGAGGTTAGCTGAAAATGTGCACCTTCGGTTGGCCACCAGAACTCAAGCTGCGGATATGGTGGTGGTGTGGGCCGCCATCACAGCCGATGGTCGTATTCCGCATGTATTAATCGACCGAGGCATTAGAATAAATGCCGAATATTATCACGGAAATATTCTGGAGGGTGTATTAAAGCCCTGGGCACACAAACATTTTGGCCGCAGACCTTGGACATTCCAACAGGACTCAGCACGCGCCACCCTAGAATGGTTAAAAAAAGGGGTTCCTTGTTTCATTTCCAGCGCACAATGGCCACCACAATCTGCGGATACCAATCCGTTGGATTATTGTGTCTGGAGTATTTTGGAAAGCAAGGTTGGCACTAAAAAATACCAAAGTGTCGATCACCTCAAGTAAGCAAAATACCGCAGAGCAACATTCGGGCAGCGTGTGACGGTTTCATTGGCCGTTTGAAGGCCATAAGTCGTGCCAAAGGTGACCAATTCGAATAAATCTAAATTTATTCTAAAATTCGATGCTATTTCCGACATTCAATAAAATAAAAAAAAAAATGTAAAAATTATGACGCTTGATTTTGTTGCCATTTTTTTATGTCACCCTGTATATAATTTTATTATAAAATATACAATAAACAAATCAATGGCCTTCATTTCTAATGGCGGTCGGACAAACTTAATCAAATGATTGCTCAATTAAATGACTTGATTTTTCTGCTATATTCGATTTTTTACCCTGCAAGTTTCAACAATAATGACTTACAACTTTCGTTTTGCAACAAGACCAACAATCATCTTCAATATAACAATTCTCTCTCCTTCAGAAGTCATTATTGCCCTTAGCTGCCAACTTCGTGGGCATTTTCGTCAAAAAAAAGAAGAAAAAACAACGACAAAAGCAGTTTCAAAACTTTTGTCATTTGTAAAAATCCTTCACTGTAATTTGCACTTTCGTGTGCGGCCAGTATGCATTTTTTTGCCATCCCCCTTTCCATGGGTTCTGTTCACCGTCGCCGCAGAAAAAGGATTCAAATCACATTGCATAATAATGAGTTTTTCGTGGTTGCCTGACGTCGTTTATTCTTGGAAAATATTTGCAATATCCTTGCCTCCCTGTCAGTCTGGCAACCACCCCGCTCTATTTAAGCAAAACTTTGGTGGTATTAGTGTGAAATACTGTGTCCGAACGTGCCAAAAATGTGAGGTGGCACCCGAGTACGCTCAAGTATTCAACGTGAATGACATTGTCATTAGCGTTTAAAGTTTAATGCCAATTTTCGGAAAATTTGGAGGCCACTTCAATATTGGACATTTTTGTACCCTCCACCATACTATGGAGGGTATATTAACTTTGTCATTCCGTTTGTAACTCCTCGAAATACTCATGTCAGACCCAACAAAGTATATATATTCTTGATCAGCGTAAAATTCTAAGTCGATTTAGCGGTGTGCGTCCGTCTGTCTGTTTGTTGTAATCACGCTATCTTTCGAATGAATTGAGATAGATGGCTAAAATTTTGCACACATGTTTATTTTTCCAGTAGGCAGGTTAAGTTCGTAAATGGGCCATGTTTTCATATAGGTCCCACATAACGGTAACCCCCCTATATTCGGTATTTTGATGATTTTAGCGACGTTATTCACCGGAATTGTTTCAAATTTGGTATTTGAAGTTCCAAATGGATACTACACTCTAAGACTGAAAATTGTCTGTGCAGGTCCACGTCTTCGTATAGCCCCCATATAACGGCACCTCGCTATGTTCGGTATTTTGATAATTTTAGCGACATTAT